TTTGTATTTTAACAAAATACTATCTATTTTAACACAAACCCTTATGTTTTACATGATTTCAGAGTCCATCTAATTCATTCTCCTAATTGTACGGGAGAACAACTGAGAATTCTATATCATAATTAGGGTGATTACATACTTTATTGTCCAAATCTGGACACTAAAACAAAATAGATTGTTCTAATAATTACCCCAGGACAAGGTTAAACCGGGAAGCTAGGATATATGAGCACCTTAATTTAAAAAAATAGAAACTAAGATTACCAGATGGTTGAGTCATTAAAATTAATTTAATTGCTTTTTTAGGTCTTCTGCCATTCTAATAATGTTAATTTAAATAAAGTTAAATTGGCCATTCTAATAATAGCTAACATTTTAAATTACTTATTATGTACCAGGCATTATTCTGAGTATTTTATTTGTAAAAACATGATTAATTTTCATGGTAACTATGTAAGATTGTTACTCATCCCAATTGTATAGATAACTGATTTCTAGAGAGGTTAAATTTCTTATCCAAAGTCACAAAGCTAGTAAGTACACTGTAAACAAGCTGGGATCCAAAGCCAAGTATTTTGGTTCCAGAGTCTTAGCCTTTCCCTATTCTGCTCCTCACGCTGCTAGCACGGATGGTTGTGGAGGCAGGCCTAGAATAGCAGTGATATTTGAAGGGCTGAGCAGATCTCAGAGGTTTGCAATCCTAGGAGTCATAAAAAATTGGAAGTACAGGGTAGGAGGTTTTGAAGTAAATACTTAGAGATCAATGTAAAATATCTGGTATTACAAATCAGAAATCACAGAATGAAGCTGCACTTATGGGTGCCCTTCATTGTGCTTGCTAAGGCGTGGGTCTTACATGTGGCTTCAAGGAGTGACACCCAGGCGGTGAGCCCAGCATGAGCAGTCTGAGGCGAAAGGAGCATCTGACTGAGGTGGGGAGTAAAGACAGGGAATGGAGATTCCTGACCATTTACTGGATCACCTATGAACTCGACCTTGGCTGCAGTTTTTTATAGGAGAAGAGAAAGCCTTGCTCTTGCTTCCAGGGAACACTAGGATGAAAAAGAGCTGGTAGAAACGGGGACAAAGGGAGGTTTTTCTAGTCAATGCACTGTGGCTTCTTGGCACAGGCTGCAGTCCTGGCTACCACTAACCTGTTGGAGACCTTAACAGAGGTTCTACCATGCTGAGGCTATGCTGAGAAATCACTGAGGAACCACTGGACTGATCATTTCTTGATTTTTAGCTCTCTGTGTAGTTGGGAATTATGACATTCAAGAACTGGGAGCAATATACTGCCGATTCTAATGTATGTTCTATTGGTCTTTTAGGCAGTTATTTCCATCCTTATCAACAAAGATATCTTTAATTACAATAATTTATCATTAGATTGACTTTGGTGTAAACATACATCTATTACGTATACTTTTAAACCCTTTAATATATTGTGTCTAAGTTTTTCTTTAGTATGAGAACATACTCATTCACCTGGGTCTTAATTGCTTGTATTTCTTAAACTGGCAATCTCAATCTTGATTGTGTTGGTCAGTCTTATTGAGGACCTTTTATTGAATATTGGTATTATGGGGAGAAAATAATTCCCATCTTCAAAATATAGAAGTAAAAACGTATAACAAAAAGCAAAACAAAATAAAAGATAAATAATTTAATCAAAAGTAACATAAATAGTAGGAAAATGATAATGGAAATTACAGTAATTCTCAGTGATTATAGTTTAAAAGTGTATTCACCAGATATTTTATCCTACCTTAATTTGTCTGAATATTATTGAGTATTTTTGCAAAATAGTCAAATACAGTGTTAAAATATAAAAAAAGTATTATCTTAAAAAGCTAACAACTTGTAATTTTGGATTACATTTATAAAATACTTGTATATTTTTTTCATATGTACTACTTTAAAAAAATATTTTTATTGATTTCAGAGAGGTAGAGAGAGGGAGAGGGAGATAGAAACATTAGTAACGAGAGAAAATCATTGATCCGTTGCCTCCTGCAGGCTCCCTACTGGGGATCAAGCCTGCAACCCAGGCATGTGCCCTTGACCAGAATTG